CGGTTAGTTCAGTTTTTCCATTTCTGGCTTTTCAGGTTTGTGTTACAGTATGGGAAATAAAAAGTCGGTTAGTTCAGTTTTTCCATGTCTGGCTTGTCAGGTTTGTGTTACAGTATGGGAAAATAAAAGGCCGGTTAGTTCAGCTCTTTCATGTCTGGCTTGGCGGGTTTGTGTTCCGGTATGGGAAAACAAAAAATTTGGTTAGTTCAATTATTTCATGTCTAGGGGCTGGTGGCTTGTTTTACAGCGTCGGTGCCACTCGACGCCAACCTATTCAAATTTTGCGAACAGGGGGGGGGGGGGGGGGGTACTCATAGTCGTGCATGCCGTAGTCGTTAGACCATTGGCCTCGCATCCCTACAAAGCCGGGACGGAGCACGCCGGGTTCTCACCGGACCAGGCTCTCACATCACCAATGGCGAAGCACCGTGAGGCATTCGGCGAGTCGCATGAAGGGTGCGCTGCATCCTGCTAAGGGTGTTCGGCATCTTGCGCTTCCCTCCTTGCGTACGGATGACAGCTGCGTATGACTTAATTTATGTTCTGGTGCTTTCACTTCCAGAGACAGTTATAAGCACTGTGTAGCTGCCTCGAGGGTGCTTGACTAATTTAAGACAACGTGGTGCGATCACCCCCTTTGCGCAGAGTGAGGGTTCTCGACCCCGCACAACATAATCTACTCGACCACCATTATGACGGAGAGGGGGGGTCGAAGTTGTCGTACCATCTCGGAGCGTGTTATCGACGTGTTCATACTTCGAATTGACTCCTAGAGAAGGGCTTGAAATGTAGATAGCTGAAAGTCACTTGAGCTACTGTAGATTACGTCTGTTCCTACGGTTTGGGGTCAACGAAACAGCGCATTTACCTCAAGTCTTTATTGAGGCGGCAACAACCGACTGATCCAGCGAGGAGTTCTTTGGCGAAGTAACTACGGTAGATTGGTCCCTAGGTGTAAACACGGGGGTAGGGAGCAGTTTTGCATGATGACTGGCCGCTTGTGTGTTTTGCTGCACGGTCCGTTAACTTTCGGCGCGCTAATTCGAGAGTAATCTGCAAGTTTGTGTTGACGCAATAATCACGTGGCCATCAATATTTTTCTGGCGACTCGGGTGCAAAAAATACGCGGACCCGGAAACGGCAGCAGGCTTATGAGTCGCGATGTTGCAGCATCTCCTCTAGTTTGACGCACAATGAGAGCAAATCAAACGCATGAGGACACAGAACACGCCCTGAGCCGTCCTGCCGAAACGTGCAGGAGGCTCATTTATCCCCGACTGCTACACAGAAGTTTGGCCCCGGCTGTCAGCACTCGGAGGGAGACCTGGTGTATTCGTAGCAGAGACACGTTAGGATACCGCGGAGGCCCGGGCGGAACGTGTCGTCGGGAAAGTCTCCCGGGCACAGAAAATACCACTACTCAAGCCAACTCGAAAGAAAAACAATGAACCAACTCTTTTTGTATTATGAGCATTGAATGCGGCGGCAACCAACCGATCAAGAAAGGATTTCCTTGGCGAAGTGATGAAAACAAGGAAGAGAGTGTGAATATATCTTTGCAAGGGTATGAACAGGAACGCCTCAAGCCTTCCATGCCTACAGCAGCAGTACTGTAGTCTAGCTATGAACATTAGCAAACAAATGCTTTGGTATCAGCAAATGGCGGACAAACTTCGGTAGCGGCAGCGGTCGAAGTGGATAATATCCGACGGTGCCCGCCAGTTAGTGTGAATTAAAAACACAACGCGATCGGGAGGTAGACCAGCACAACCGACAAAAGTGTGTAGTACTTAGTACAGTCGTGGTCCCGGTTTAGCGGTCCATAGTGTCACTAAATGTTCTAACCGCTTTTTAGGGCATCGCCGCTAAACCGGATTGATTGGTACAGTTATATCGTAGTTTGACTACCGAGGTGCAGACGTGCCACGAGATTTTGGGACCGCTGTTCAGGGCATCCCGCTAAACAGGGACCCGCTAAACCGGGACCACGACTGAATGTGGTGAACAAACCATTGATACTATAATAGTATTACAAATTGTCGACACATACGTATCATAGTCTAGAAGCCTGCCTGCGTCGTGTACCTACCTAAGGTCGCATGTTCATGGTCTACTACTGTAGTGGTTGGATCGTATGCCTATGTAGGGGGTCATCAAGCGGCGGGGCTGGTAGGCATATAATAACGTGCGGCGATGACCAAAGCAATTCAAGTCGTGCAGCGAGATATGCAACTGCAATTCGACGCGGGGGCGCGCTAATAAGGGAACGAAGCCAGTAGAACCGCAGGACCCCCATAACTACTGATACTCCCGTGTGTGACGCTGGAAGAAAATGATACGTACAACGGTTCTGGCCCCCAAGACTTTCACACGCCATGGATACCCCACGGGCCGAACTAGGCGCGACGCCTGTTGGAGATTGCCGAATCAAGGAATCAATCTTTTAATCTTCGCCCTTTGTTTCTGTTCCAGATCTTGTCCGCAGATATGGTGGGGGCTCCGCAGTTTGCTTTCGGGGTGACTTTTTCGAATTTATTATTTTTGGCTTTCTCTGCGAAATGTGACAAGCTGCTTCACATCGCCTGTTCGGGGGGCTCTCTTCACCTTTGCAGTTTTTGCATCTCTCACATAACCGTTCTTGGGAAACACCCAGCACAGCCAACGCAGCGGGTGCAAAAGGTGAGTGCTCGAGGGCTGTCGCAGCTTGTGCTATATCCGTGACGCGTGCTTGCGTGCGTGAAGTTGGATCCCAAACGGCTGCTGCTTGTCTGGCATGCTCAACGAGGCATCGCGTTCCTCTTGGTGGCCTCGCCCTCACCGTTACTTGTTCAGGAACCAGAGGAACACACGTGGCTCCTCGTGCAAGACCGGCGACTACTCTCTCTAGATATAGACACCACGAGCGGCTTGTGCCCTTCTCCGACAATGGAACCATAGCCAGCGATAGTTTTGATAGAAATGGTACACTTGACAGCACATCGACATCTCCCCCACACATGGGCGGTGTAAGTAACTCTTCTATTCTCTCTTGCTGCGTAGACACAACACCCACTACGGCAGAGAATACATCATGTCGGCACCGCCCCTGCCGGATTTCTGGAGTGAGGAAAGGGATGCAAAGGGTCGCACGTATTTCTCTAACCATCGGACGCAGGAGACGACGTGGGAGGTGAGCAAAGAGCAGTAGAGAGAGCAGCAGAGCACTTAGGGTTCGTTGCAGGATGCCCGGCCCCCCTCAGCTCCGCTGAAATTTCCCAGATTTTTCTTTGCAGAGGCGGTTTGCGGCCACCGGCTAGTCACCAGCTACATTGTAGTGCTATCGGCAACTCGCAGGAGGTTCTGACGCTTCTGCGGAGTGGTGCATGCTTTTGGAGAGAGGAGGGGGGTGAGAGAGGAGAGAGAAAGACAAAAATTAGGTCGTCATTATCGATTCGACATGACGCCGAACCACCCAGGCATTCATATGCACAGCATTGCATGGAATCTTCCATGTACCGTCGCCATGCCATGCCAACTGAGACCCTTCACCCTGTTACCATTTAACCACCCACACACCCCGGCTTTGATTGATTTCTTCCCACAGAGGCCGGTGGTAAGCGTCCCTCAGGGAGAGCCAGACCTTCCTCCTCCCTACGGTGGCAACGCAGCCCCTCGCGCGGCGGCCGCACCGCCCCAGGTACGACTGCCTGCGTGCTGCGTGCATGGTTGTGGTGGCAGAGAAGTCGGACCGTTTTGTTTCAAGTTTCGTATTGGGAGGACGGGTGAGGGGTGCAGGAAGGAGGACTGATGTAGGTTTTGAAGGAAGCTGTTGACGAGCGCACCTAAGTCACATGTGCTAGGTTCTGTTAGAGATCAGGCGGGGCTCGTCGTGCAATCCGCACCGTCGAAGAGTGCTCTGGAAGGCTTCCTTTTTGAGGTGTGGTCCACGGCAGCCGTTTCGTTGACACTTCATGTACCCCCATACAACGGCTACACGAGCATCCGCAGCCGTTTTTTTGCATGCAAAACGCCTGATGATGGTGGCAATGCCTCCCTATATCGCTTGAACCGGTAGCATGCAGCACTGTGGCGGCCACATGCCCACATGCCCGAGAGTGATCACACACATGCCACCACGTCCTGAATTGCCACCGAAGAGCCCGTGTTCCATGTATTCCACATGGTCTGTTGGCTATTGATCAGGTTCATTACTGTTAGGGTGCGGCGCAATTACCGATAAGGAGGAACGTGTGTGGCATTTCTCGTGTCCAGGAATGTCATTTTACGTGGTTGACCAACCAGACAAAAATTCCGAGTTCCATGTTCCCTGTTCCCTGTTTTGGGAGGGGGGGGGTTAAGACACGCCTCTCAGGGCCAATGCACTCTGTAGGTTAGATCCTCCCTGCATCGTTTTTTGTGGGCTCAGGTCGAATGCATCTGAGTTGAGTGGGCCCTGGTGTAGTGACGTGTTCTCTGCATACAGCAGTATATCTTACCCAGGTTTTGTTCCCTTCTTTGGCGTTTGCCGCACAGCCACAAAATTGAGAGCAACCAGGCTCTGTCTGTCTGGCTCTTTTTCTCTCTCCCTCTCTCGCGGACCAGACCCAGTTGTATGAAGTACGCACCAGACCTCGAAACATTGAAGTATTGCTTGGCCTCTCCACTATTGGCTAGTCTGTGTTGTCTCTGAACAACACTGCACGTTGAGAGTATAGTGCTTTCAGTGTGGCCCCCAGTGCCTTATGTCTAGCTCCTAGTATAGGAAAGCGGGATCGGCGGAGGAAACCCCCTTTCCTTGATTACCCCCAGAAACCTTGTACCTATGTATGGCACACCCTCTGGCGAGAAGAGTTCACCCACCCGCCATCATCGTCCACGAAGTCGCATTGAACTTTTCGCTCTCTCGGGACCCCCAAAGCAGAAGGGGATGGTCGCATGAAGTGTTGCCGACCGTGTCTCCCGAATGTACCCATGCCGTTGTCCCCTGCTGCCGGGTGCGTAACGCGGCCAAGCAGGCGGCACGGTCAGGCCCCTGCTGCACGCCAAGGCTGACGTTCTGGATTTCGTGCGCGTTGGGCTGGGTCGTCTGGGTCTTCGCTGTTGCGGTGAGGAGCCAAGCAAAAGCGCAGCAGGACACGATGGTCGTTTATTTTTGTTTCGTGTCCCCATGTGCTACCTACCTGTCGCGTCACCTCGCAAGCATCCCTTGTGCAAGGCTGTTGTTTCGTCTGTGGTATGATACGCTTTGTATCGGATCTCGTGGAATCGTTCCTGACACTTGTCTCTCGTCGAGGTGCCACACCTTCCCTCGTGTGGTGCTTGGTAAGTGCGTACGGAGCTGATCACGGCACCGGGGATTGCTCAAAAGCCAAAGGCACGAGTTTTTCCAGTGGTTTGTGAGAGTGTGATGGTGGCTCGTACGCAGCGAGGACGAGGACGTTATTTCCCAGGAGACGTACAAAAAGCTGTATGTTTATCGCGGACGTTTCGTGTCGAAGTCGATTAGGTGCTCGTGTTTCAGTCAAAGCACCGGTGGGTGAGTTTCTATTTTGCTGGCTTCGTTGAGGTGCGTCGTGCGTTTTGTGGTACATAAATAGGATACATGTTTATGGACGCTTTTTCGGCGGACCCGCGTCCGATGAGGATAAGAATTGCGCCAAGATGTGTGCGAAGCAGCACCAAGTGCTGTGCCATTTGTTTCGTGTTAACGTTGACGAGGTTTGGGGTATTATGCTAATAGAGTTTCGGAAGAGCTGTCAATCGCGGTCAAACAATGATGGGCATACCATTCGCCAGACGGGTTACACCGACAGCCATCTATGTAGTGGTGTGGAACACTCGGAAGCTGTGGTATGGGTGTTGCGGGCCGAAGTAGAGAAGCCGCCTTCATCGACTTTTTGTACTCCCGCTGCGGAGTTTGAAGTTGGCCATATGATGCTTGCAGCCACCAAACGACCTGTCTTCCCATGCCTACTTTAAGCAGCCCACCCAGGCCTAGCGCCATGCACGCCAGTGTTTTTGAAGAAATACGCCACCACTGACGAGTTCCAAGGGAAGCCAAGGAATATGCAGGTCTTGACAATGCACGTCTGCCTCGCTTCCGTAAAACTTGCGCCGCGTGTCCGGGTCGACTGAACGGGATATCCAGGCCTCTGCGGACGATAAGTGGGCCAAAATTGACGGCTTTGACATCGGTGCAGGGGATGAGGACATCCTGGACGATTGCGATTCAAGCGATGACGTGTGCTCCCTATGTAAGAGTGCCCTGTTCATCACATGATAGATTCTGTTATCGACTTGCTTAGCATGAAACCTTATGCTCTATGCAGCACTTTTTCGAGGATGTTGTTCCTGTTAGCTCTTGTGTATCCAAGTTTTGGCAGGCTACAGTAATAACTTCGCGTGGGGAAAATGTGGTACTGGACGGAAATCAGAACGATGTTTGATGTAAAGACGACAGCGGCAACACTGCTCACTCTGATGTCGTAGCACGCATCAGCAAAAGAGTAGGGCGAGCAGAGAGGCGTGCTTTCGCAACCGCTACACGGAGTAAACAGGAGTACATAGAACGAGCACACTCGTTGTCAGGATGCTCTACACTTGTGATTCCCTCCCTTTCAACAGCTACGCCAGCCCCCGCGCCTCATCATCACTAAAGTATCTAGCTCTTTTGGTTTGCTCCGGTTGCAATCGCAGACAAGGCGTTCACGGCAATGCAGTTCATCGCCGCCGTGGTGGTGTCGGTGTCGATGGTTCTCTTCACCCTCGCCCTGTTCCGCCCGGCGGCTGGGCTCAAGTGCTGCAGCGTCAAGTCCCTGGCGATCGCCGCCGGCAGCCTCATGATGGCCTTCGCCTTCTTCGAGATGCTCGCCTTCGTTCTGATTATCGTCATCGAGAAGGAACTCGACGGCGGTGAGTGCTGCCATAAATCCAGGATGTACCTCTTGGTAATGCTGGGTTTTTATTCCGTGCGCTGCAGCAGTTACTTAGTCTCTCTCGCTCTCTCGCTCTCTCGCTCGCTCTCTTCGCTCCTCCCCATTGCATGCACATGTTTTGCGTTGGGAGACGGCGATCAACGACCGCGACAACACTATCAACCTGGCTCAAGTGCTGTCAACCTCTGTGTCCCCGCATTTCCATGTTTCGGGAATGACGTCTAACCCCTCCCCCCTCCCTTCGCGTGGACGCGAACGCCGCCACCGTTGCTGTTTTCTTCTGCCCCGGTGGCGCTCAGATTTCAATAGCGGCTTCGGCTTCGGCGAGGCCGACCTCGGAGCGACCTTCGGTGTGGCGGTCGTAGCGGTTGTGTTGGGAGTGGTGCAGGCCGTTTCGGTCTTGACGTTCGCCCGCAGCTCTGGAGACGGGCCCTTCTTCAAGTGTTTCAACGAGTGCATGACCATGAACAACGCCCCATACGCCGCCGCCGTGCCGACCCAGCAGCAGCCGCCGCCGCAGCAGCAGCAGCAACAGCAGCCGGTGCGTTCGATTTTTTGTCCCCAATGTTGTTGCGAACGATACGTGCCGATGACCATACTTGTAGGTGGAAATGTTTTCAGTTCGACGGAGTGCGAGTAGAGAGTGTTGTTGAAAGCGGTAAGAACATCTGTGGGTTCTCATTTCACTCCCCACCGTTTCACGTCCACCGGACGCACAGGCGCATCAATAGGTATCAGAGGAAGAAGGTTAAGTGATGGTGTTGAGTTTTGTGGTTTTGCAAGCACTCTTGATGCGGAGACTGAACCAACCCTGTCGTCCATTCTCCTCCACGGCCTTCCGGTCAGGGGGGGGGGCGCGGACTAGAAAACGCTTATTTTTGTGCTCCACTCGCGTTTTTTTTTTTCCGGCTATGTACTGGGCTGTGTACTTTCAACCGCAAGGCGCTTGGCGCGGTCCATGCAAGTTGCAGAGACGCTCGCGAACGCGCAATTGCAGGGCAGTGGTGCTACCACGCTGCCACGAGGACTGTTCGACGTAGCACGAGAGGGTACCTTGGTAGAAATGTTACGCCGTCTTCTTGTGCACGTGGTCTGAATCTGAAGGCCGAGTGTCTCTTCTTTCCAGTTGTTTTTGGGCCCTTCCCCCCTGTCAGGGGCGACCGCTAGCCGGAAAAACTTTGTGCGTTCGTTGTCCCGCCGGGACTGACATGTTCTTCTTGTCAGTTAATTTATCGACGATCGATAGGATTTTCAGCCCGTACACACACGTCGATCGGTTCTTGAAGCCCGCCGCCCGCCATGTAGACATCCCCGCGCCCCGTTGAATGCACAGACTCTCGCATTCTTTGCAGGGAGACAGGTCTGCGTGATAATTTTAGCGAACCGCGTACCTCTTCCCTGATGATGGTGTATTTCCCGCTGTTCCCAAACGCCGTCTGCAGCCCCTGCGCACGGCAGTCTTCGCATCGGCCGCATCTACGCAAGCCCCGGCGCCAGCGCCGACGGGCCCTGCAATACCCGCCGCGGCGGCGCCGGTACCCGCAGGACCGGTGCCTGCGGAGCCGGCAAGCACAGCGGTCTGACCCCTCCACCAAGTGCACGGGGACGTTTGATGGCGGCGGCGGCGGCGGCGGCTGTGAAAGCGGCTCCATATTTGGCGTATGCTGCATCAATACATCTGGAAGTTCACCCCCCTGCGGCAGGTTTAACAGGGTTCGGGGTCGGACCGAGGACCGGTCCGAGAAGTTCCTCGCAACGACCTGCGGGGGTGGGGTGTACTCATAGTCGTGCATACCTAGTAGTCGTTAGACCATTGACCTCGCATCCCTACGAAGCCGGGACGGAGGACGCCGGGTTCTCACCGGACCAGGCTCTCACATCGTCAAGCGCGAAGCGCCGTGAGGTATTCGGCGAGTCTAAGGGTGTTCGGCATCTTGTGCTTACTTTCTTGCATATTGATGACAGCTGGGAATGACTTTCTTTTTTTCTTCTGGGCAACGCCCCGGGGGGGGGTGACGTTCGTTGTCCGGGGATCGTGTGGTGTCTGCTCACATGGACGACGGCATGGCTGGTGGCGCACTGAAGGGTTTTGCGTTGTGCTTGTGCCCGCGCCCGTTTCCCCCACGCCCTACTGTTCTATACTCTCCTCGTTTATTTTGATGATGACTGATTGTGGACATGGAGTTAGATTTTGATAGACCACGACCGAGAGGTGGATTTAACTTCTCTCACTTGGTGCGTTACCTCTTGCCACATCGCACGCTATATGTGCCCTCAATGCTTCGAAACGCCCGTTTCACCCGGTATTTGTTGTACTACGCCATTATTTTTCGTCGTCGATTATTTTTCCCACGGCGAACGAGTTTTGAAGGGTTTGTGTATTGTTTGAGGTGTTTGGAACCATCGATGTTTGTTGAGCAATGTGGTATGCGTACAATGTATAGATTGCAAGGCAATGGCATGGTGTAGGGTTTTGTACCGGGTTTGTGCTATGAGATGGGGACAGCGGTGTTGTTAGTCATGCTGACCCCGAGTGGACTGTTCGGGAATAGGCAGCTTCTTCCCAAGCGCTATGGCGCTTGTCTGTTTGTGGCTGCTGTTGATTGGGTGGCCTCTGAGTTTGGGTGTTAGTCTACATAGATAGGCATTGTCGCGCTCTGTAGAATCTGATTTCTGTTGTCGGCGCCTCAGCGACATGAGCGTCTGGGTTGGATCCGGCCGTCGAGTTCACGTTGTTTTGAGCGTCCTCGCCTGCCGTTGTCTCAATCAACTAACTGCACTGCTGCTGCTGGACTAGACAACCGAATCGTGAATCTACCGCTCGCTGTATGTACGCCAAAAAATTGATTCTAAAATCCCCCCCCCTCACTAATCTACATATTATATGTTCCAAACTTGAATCGACACCAGTAATCAATAAATAATAAATCACCGTCAGCTCAATCGGCCGTGGAAAAAACGACGTTTCTCCGGCCCATTTGCAAGCTGGAGTCCCAGGAGCCGTTACCTCTTAGCGTTGACCGCGCGTGTGAGCATATTCCGACACAGGCACGAAGTCTCACGGCCCGCCTCGTTGAGAAGTTTATCTACGCTATAATTCAATTCAATTGGGGAGAAGCAGCTATGGCCCACAGCACTCTACAAATTGTACATATACAAAGTGATCTCTGTTGCTGGAAACCCAGATAATACGGCTTATTTTTTGTCTTCGATCAGAGCTAGTCATAATAAGTACTTCGAAGTATTTGTTTTTCAACCTCGTTGAGAACGGGCCTCTAAGCCGCGAGCCGTGGGATCAACTGAGGTTTCCAGCAGCGGCGCGTTCTGTCGCATGCTGGAGGTACAATGACAAACGTCATTCATTCGTGCTTGACTGGCCCACGTATGTATGCATATGCATGGGACTACACATATACTACGTACTGCAACATGAACACATACATTCAGTCAGTGTGTTCGGTGCCGCAGTGAGTGGCAACCCAAAATACGCGCGAATTTACTTGCGCACAACGTTCGTCAGCGGCCGATGAACAAATCGCCTCTCTAAGTAAAACGGGAGTTGTTTCGTTTGGGTCAGCGTCGGAGATACCCTGTCCGCGATGTGGGTCTCTGTAGTGGCAAACATGCGTCTATTGCTGTGTGATAAATGATGCCTTGGTTGTCGAGAATTCCCGACTCACGGTCGGGTGATGAAATCAAATCAACTCTGGGTAACCTTGAAGCCCCACAAATAAATACACACACAGAAAGACTAGACTACCCATTCGAGGTATACCCACAGTCGAACGGGATGTGGTGGAGTCTTTTCAGTGAGTGGAGGAAAACCGGCTGGGCACTGGACTTATTTCGAGTCTTTTTAAGTTGATACACTGATGATTGATATCAGTTATGCCAGCTGGTGTACAAAAACATCTGTAAATAGGTAACTTACATGTAGTTCTCTACCTGGTACAGGTTTTCCGTCGAGAGACACCCCGAAAAGGTGGTCGAAAGCAATGGTTGACGGGAATTTTCCATAGGAAACTTCCGGCTACACCACCAGAGCTACAGTATATAGCCCGAGTGGGTGAATGGGAAGGACGGAGGAAAAATATATACCCCGATGGACAAACTGCTCTATTCCGAAACTACTTGTTGCTGCTTCGACCCCAGTGCGCCATACGTTTTTTTTCTATCACGTCTGAAAGCTAGAATATTTCGCCAACCCTAACCCCAACTCAACCGATCCGACCCAAACCTATGGCATTGGAAAGTGCTAGGTCACTGTACCAAGCAAGCCTAGACCGCGGCAAGCCGCGGCAACGCTAGGTTGCTGCACGGTGGAAAAGCTAGGTTTCCGCTGTCCCGTTTGGCTACTGCTGTAGGTTGCTGTACCGTGAAAAGCTAGGTTGCCGTGCAGGGCTGCATCTACCCAAGGAATGTTCCAACAAATGGTATCCCGATATGGAGACCACCGCTTTCGACCAAGTCGTCAGCACTACTGCCGAAAAGCCCGCAACGGTCAGAAATTGCAAGTTGTAATTGTTCCGCGAGTTTTCTGGTGCGCGATTGCGACGCCACATATTAGCGTCGCCGCTCCAGAGACCACACACACCCGCGAGGAACGGTGCACAGTGCACAGCTGGTCCTCTGCACAGAATGCAAAGTTCCCCTTCAGGCAGCACGCCCTCGCACGTACCACATCGCGCAGTAGTTGCACACAAAGGCGCCTCGCTGTGCATCGCATCACATCACCCTTGACCTTGAATCCTTGCGAGATCTTCGTCGGCAAGAAGAAGAAGAGAGTCGGTTTTCTGGTCACGACCGTTCTCACCGTTTCAACGTTTCGACAGGAAGAAACCAAAGAAAGAGGTGAGTGAGTGACATCCTTGCGCAAATGCTCACCGTAGACACGAGGGTCCAACAGCAGCCACCAGATAAATTACGGTCTGTTTCTTGTGCATGGCATAGATAGCATCTCAGTGACACGACAAAGGCAACGCCGTCGTGATGAGGCCGGGTACAGCTACGACTGCTGCTGCTGCTGTGTACCTGTCTGTACCTGTCTGTGCCGCGCGTGCGTGTGTGTGCGATGTTACGTGTGTGTGCGATGTTTACGTGTGTGTCCGACGATGTTGATGATCCGGTTGGCACCTGTTGAAGCGCTACTTATTATACATACGGCGCTGTTGGATCGAATTCGACCACAGCCACGAGGAAGAGTTTGCGACACAAACCCTTAACCCAGCGTGTTTTGCATAGCAGTGGTCCGGCAACCGCCAACATTCCGACGCTGGCGCAAGCTGCAACTTGTTTCAGTTTCAACAAGTTGGCAGGTATCTCGTATCTCCTGCTGCTGGCCTCTTGGGCCTTTTTCAACGATTTTCCAGGAGAACCCTTTTATCCTGCCACGTCCATATGTTCGTGAGGTTCACCGCACCACCTTTATTCCGGAAGAACTGGTCTCCCCCTGTACTCTGTTGAGAAGAGTAGATGTCACAAGGTACTGGCTGCTGTAGTATGGATAACGGCAGATAGATGACGTGTACGCAACCGAGCGGAAGGGTTCTTCTCATTCTTCTCTCACTCGCCTCCCACAAACGTCGGCCAAGAAAGATCGTACTGCTGTAGCCTACGAAAGGAATCAGTAAGCCATTCATTTACGTTGGCTTTACCCGAGGCCGAGGTTGTGCGCAATTGCACTTATTTATTTCCTCTTCGGCCCTTCAAGAAGGGCCATTGGGACTTTGAAATGACTGATTGATGAGAGGCGCCCCCAAGCAGAGCGGTCAGGATACATACATGTTGGCTTTGATGTGAGGTCATAATTTTCCTGCAGAGGGTGGGCGCTCATGTCCCCAACGTCTTGTACAACCAGAGTTGCCAACCGAAAACGTTTCTACCGTGCATGGTGGGTCTGGGTCTGCAGTTACATATCTGCCTTTTCCCGTTCTGCTGTGTAGAGAGAGCGTGGGGGGGAGGGGGCCGCACCACAAGGAACAGGTGGCTTCGTTATATTGTATTTTCATTTTGGGATCTTGGGATCATCTCTGCGCAGAGGAGTGCAGCGGCGGGCACGTGTACCGAGCAGGCTTTTTGATATATACGACGGGGAAGATTCCCAGGATGAGGGTCAAAAGGCGCTAATCAGTCCCGCCCGCTCCCCAGAACAACCAACCGGCAGCTCTGATTCTTTCTCCGTGACTGCCGTTCGTGTTCGGTGTAGGTACCCCCCCTGCGAGCACGAGACTCCTTCCGTCAGTGGTCGTCATTCTTCTGCGCGACAAGGAAAGATGTTCAGGGAAAAGCCGCGGCCGGAAACCCTGCCCGAGGGTACGAGAGTTGCAGCAGTCAGCAGCAGCAGTAGTTGGGCAACAGATACAAAACCGGCCTTCTCCACTCCTCCTTCCATTTCTGCGCTATCCACTCGAATCGAAAAATTGTTCGTCGATGATCTGTTGCCGTTTACTGGATACGTCATAATCTTCGTGGCCGAAATTTGGCACATACTTCTCATTTTCTGTCGGGCGACGAGCGCAGACACGCACCGTACCACACGCCCACTCTGTCTACTTTTCTGGACTGCGGTGAGGGCTCAGAGGTCAGCCTGATACACGAACGCAGTATCTAGGGGTGATGGGAGTAAACGCCATTTCACGCACCGCACACTGGAAAACCGTTCTTGCGTGTCGTTCTCCAACGTGATCCTCACCCCACCCCCGTTGGTCACGAGCATCACCTCCGCTCTCTACTCGCCCGGCGTATGCGCAAGCCGCGGAGAAATGGCGGCGGCCAAGCACGGTGCTTTTGGACGCCCTCTTGCTCATCTTCACCTAACACCCCTCACCCTCGATCCCCCACCGCTATCGGTGGAACTTCAACCTGCCCTTAACCCCCTCCCGCTCCTGGTTCATTCGCAGGCTGGGAGGTCAAGACAACAACTACAGGCAAGGTGTTTTACGTCAACCACGTGACAAAGGTGAGATATGGGGGGCGGGGGGGGGGAGAGAAAGACCCCGTTGCTCTGGCTGCAGAGTGTTACCGCCGTAACCTTGAGCAGTAGTCAGTATTCCTGCAACGTCATGCGAAGCGTTTTCCTAACATAGACTATTTAATGCCCGAGCCAAACCATCGCGGAGTGCACCCCGGGGGCAGCCGTTTGTACGTTGTCGCGACTGAGCAGAAAGAACCACGCGCAACACCGGAGGCGGTGATTTCGTGTTGCGCGTGGGTTCGACTCCTAGGGATAAACGGTGAAACGCAAGGCGAAACGGCCGGCGTATTTCAGCACTGCTGTTCGATCGATGTGCTCCGGACCCGGAGGCCTAGCTTCCTCTCTCCTATCCAGGGGCGGCATTATTCATGAAGCTTTCATGAATCTTCGTTGCGCTGAGGTTAAAGTGCTTTCGGTTGTCACCCGTTTGCCGCGTTCGATATCAACATAAGAGGCCCGTGCGCTGGTGGGGCGGGGGGGGGGGGGGGGGGGGGACCCTTTTGTTTTGGAGGCCTTAACGGTTAAACCATTTACCCCCCCCCCCCCAAAGGAGGGAACTTTTTTCCCCCGGGACCGAACCCCGAGGGGCAACCCCCCCTTCCCCTTTTGCCCAAGGGGGGCCAAAAAGGTTTTCCCTATTTTGTTTTTCCTAAAAAAAACCTTTCCCCCCTTTTTAAAACCTTTCCTACCCCCCG